TGAAATTCGTCCTATAAATGAAAAAAATGTAAAGTTTTTTTTTTTTTTTTTTTTTTCTATGGTGGGTATTAAAAAGCAAAAAAAAAAAAAAGAGCAATACTCAAGCAGAACTACTTTCAAATGCCCAGCTGCACACACTGACCACTTCAACAAAGAGGGAAAATGAATGAAGACTAGGAAGAGAAAGAAAAAATATGTCCTTCTCACTGATATCTGGGAGAACTGTTATTTAAGAGTGGCTCTTTGCAGCAGCACTTAAGTTTGTTCTCCTGGAAAAGCTGCTAGTAGTGAGAGACAAAGCCCACTACTGCACAAGTGCACTATGTAAAATGTGCACTGAATACTTCTGAACAGCTTCATCTTATGCACTGTTCTTCCAGTGTGGTCCCTTCTGTAGCAAAGTATGCACAGACACAGCCTCAGCTGTGCATAAGCTATGCATAAGGTTATGAACTAGTTACACTAGCCCTATATACTTACAGTGCAGCTCCTGCCACATCAGCTCTTGTGTTGAACCACAGCTTACTACTGCTTGTATTATTTCAGTTCTGTGTGCAGAATTCTAATCAGGTATTTAAGTGTTGAAATAAACATCTGGTACCAATAAATACAGTTCATTTAAAGTAGTGTTGTCTTAAATGTTTCCATTTGTTTTCTAGGTGTAAAAGTTCCCAGGAGCATACAAAATTATTTCCACTGTGAATTGCCTACAATCTCTTTGTGACTTGTTTAGACCTCTTTGCTGTTCTCCTGACAACTGACAATTTCAGTAACTACACTACAACAAAGAGACTGTAAATTCATTTGTCTGGACACTTAACTGCATCAATTATTCCACTGATGCATTTCTTGGAATAGATTATGATAGCTGTATTTTTTTTGAAACCATTAATAATCAGTTTTCTTCCCTGCTGAGTCTTTATTATTTCAGCACAATTTTAAGATTTAAAAAGTGCTTTTATCCCTTAGACATTTATATCTAAGTTGTAGCACAGTCACAGAACAAACTGCTGTGATTGTAGAATGAACTGAATACCATGAGTACAAACTTAAATATAAGCAAGACATTGTGTTCAAGAGGCCAGGAGATTGCAATCTGTTCAGAAGGAGAAAGTATTGCAAAACTCAAGTTTTAAAAGTATTTAGCACCTTCTACAGAGTAGATAAAAGCAGTTAATATTATTTATAGATTGCTATAATTGCATCAGGACTCTTCAGGATGTTGCTTCTGCACTACTGAAGAGTAGTTCATGTTCTCAAATACCTCATTTTACAGTTACACTGCTTCTCATTCAAGACACTAAACTGCTTTGAAACAAAGACCACTGCAATTAAGGACAGGCTCTGGCACAGCAACCTTCATGGGCAATTCTTATTTTTCCTTGAAGCCTTGGCTTGCACCCACCTATAGGTTTGAAACTTGATGAAAAGACAGTTGGTTTGACATAACTTACCTGTACTATAACACAGCCAACTTGTTAACGAATATCACAGTTTTATAGTTGAAAGTACCATACTAATTTGAGGGAAAAATGGGTGTATGTGGCACATTAATTTCAGTTTCAATTACAAACAATTTTCAAAATTCTTTTTAAATTATCACCTTGATATTCTCTCTCTTGCTAATACAATCCATTGTTTTTTAATTAGCCATGTGTTTCTAGCATCTAAGTGATTAAGAAACAATAGTTACTCCTCTACTTACAGCCCATTATGATTTGTTAGAGCTGCTCTTGGTGCAGAAGTTGTCAAAATGCATGAAAGAACATTTAAGAACTTTTAAAACTTTGATACCAATGATACAGTGCAGGATATGCATTTGACTTAAGAGTAGGAAAACCCCGTTCTGATTACTGTATTTAACCTCAAAATTATATTGACCAATACTCAGGCTACAGTAGATTTAGCCTGATTTGTTTACAAAATAAATCACTAAACTTGAACCCAGCAGAAATATCCTCCCCTTCCAAATGTGCAGAAAATACTGTCCACCTTCCACCAAATTGTAAACTCAGCTTCAAGTTTCTGGCCTAATGTTAGTATTTTCCCCATTCTTAGATGACCTTGGAGCAGAAATGGTGCAAAACAGCAAGACCTGTTGGAATAGGCAGAAAGGAATTCAAACTTTTATCTGATTGGTTTAATTTTTTTTAGCAGGAGGAAAAAGAATAAAGTTACAAGATTCTTTTAATATTTTCACAATGTTAAACTAAAACTGAGCTCTAGGCTACATGTGTAAGTAAATCTAGAACACAAAAGGGTTAAATAAGATCTTCTTTTAAGATACAAGAACTTAAGCTTTCTTTACGTTTAACAAACTTCACAGAACAGATACTGCAAAGGAACAACCCCCTCCCCAACTTTTTTGTTTAAAGTGAACATTGTCCATAATTCACATGAACTTTAACTAGTGTTCTCTCAAGAGTCACCTTGAAACCATCTGTGCACTTGTAACAAGATTAAAGAGACTATTAAAGAGGAACAAAATAGCATCTTCAGTATTAATGCAGAAAAGTCTTCTGTATTAATCAGAATGCCCATCAAATGCTATGGTAGGATTTTTTGTAGGAAAAGAAAGTGCGTATCACAGCAGCCGCCAAAATCCATGCTTTTTTGAACTGCTCACGGCAAATGTAAATGACAGTCCTTTTGACAGTCCCTCTCACCAGGACCATTTCCTGAAAATGCAGCACATTACAGAAGGTTTTGCTGCTGGTTTCATATTCTCGAATAACAACGATAATAAAAAAAAACACAACAGCTTGCCTGTTAACTTGCATCTCATAATGATGGGACACTTCTGATTTGCTTCATGGTTAATTAAATCTAATACAGTAAGATGCTGAGTGTGTGTGTGTGTGGAGAGACCTATATATATTATTTATTTTTTCTTTTACAATTAGTTGTCTCCTTGTTAAATGCTCCTACCTGGCTACCAAAGTAACAATATGATTTGGCCTATAAGCAGTTAGTTACCTGTAACAAGTAGAATGGAGGATGATTCACACAAGCTTAGTCCCAAAACACTGGGATTTTTCAAGTGACATTATTTCACCCTTCTGATGTTTTTATCTGCCCAGTATTTGAAGATGAGACAAAAACCTTTCCCTCCCTCAGGATTTCTTACAATTTTACACCTAGTTGTTAATACCTTACTAATAGATGGAGAAGCTAAATTCACTTAGGATTAAGCTAGGCCATGTCAGTACAAATCCTTTTTACCTGTATAAGCCCTGCATCTCCTGCGTACAGCAGGAGACGTGCCGATAACATGTTTGCTTTTTTTTGTCTCAGCTCAACGTGACATATCGTAACGCAGAACCATAGGTCTAAACAGATCCAAAACATTCTACTCCATGTAATGCTTTTCACATTCACTTGCTATACTTGCTTTGCAATAGGTGTGGGCAGAGATTTTTCATGAGAGTGGTCAGCTGCATAGAAACAGGGCTGCTAGAGCCCATCTGATTATCTCATTGACACTCTGGAAGTGAGGAACACAAACTCAATCTGATCAAGGGTGTCTTACCGGTTGTTCCCCAATACTGTTACTGAATTCCGTTTGCTACAAAATGTCCTTTTTCCCCCCCCC